GCTACAGTATCTGTGTCACATGCAAGGCAGCCAATCAGCCAGGAGACGTGACATGGCAAGGGTGAAGACCTCTCTGGCAGTGGAGGGGGATAAGTGCTTGGCACCTCCATTAGCGTCTATTTCCACACTCTTTGGTACTGGACCCGTGATACAGAGTGCCTAGGGATCCAGCCTGAAGTCACAGGAAAAGGAGGGATTCAGAGAGGCCCCGGGAGAGAGAGCAAGCACAGAGGTTGGAGAGAGAGAGCGTGTTTCCTTTATCCCATAGCAATCATAGGACTAGTCACTGCAATACAGTTGACATGAACTGCTGGATTGGTGGAGACCGGTACAGGCTCAGTGATACTGGTCCTTAAATGCTGCACCCCCTGGGGAGTGGTGCCATCAAATGGACAGTGTGTCTGAAAGTGTCAGCTATGGAACAAGAGAGAGTTCACTGTGTAAGTGCTACCTGCTTTTAAGTCTGAGGTGATCAAAGGGTTAACTGTGTGCTGTATGCTTTTTTACATCATCTGCTGTGTGCAGATTTACTAGGGAAACATGCTGCTGTGTATTTCTCTGCTGTGCAGCAATACACAGCAGCATGTGCTTACTGGCAGGAGAGAGATCTGTGTTACTTGGCAATAACCGGGTGCAGGCTGGGAATCTTCAGCCAGGACCCAGTGATTGACATCTGTAGGCACCGACAGCACGGGTAGGGGGCAGCACGCGCACGCCCCCCTACCCTGTAATGCAAATCACGTATATATACATGATTTTGCGCAGCTGTGCCGCCCTGTAGCAGTACTTCTGCTACAGGGTGGAGGGGAAGCGGTTAACCCCTTCCTGCCCAGTGTCATTAGTACAGTGTCAGTGCTTTTTTATTAGCACTGATCACTATATTAGTGGCACTGGGGATGTCAGTGGCAGTTAGTCAGTCCCCCCCCCCAGTGTCAGAATGCCCGCTGCAGTACCGCTATAAGTCACTGATCACCGCCATTACTAGTACAAATAAAATTTAAATTCCAGTAAATTCCATTTGTAGACGCTATAACTTTTGCGTAAACCAATTAATTTACACGTATTGGGATTTTTTTTTTTAGCAAAGACGTGTAGCAGAATACATTTTGGCCTAAATTTATGAAGAAATTAGATTTTTTAAATTTTTTTACTGGACTTGTTTTATAGCAAAACGTTAAAAATATTGTTTTTTTTTTCAAAATTGTCTGCGTTTTTTTGTTTATAGCACAAAAAACTAAAAATGCACAGGTGATCAAATATCACCGAAAGAAAGATCTATTCATGAGAAAAAAAGGACATAATTTTCATTTGGGTGCAGCATTGCATGACCGCGCAATTGTGAATTACAGCAATGCTATATCACAAAAATGGCCTGGTCAGGAAGGGGGGTGAATCCTCTGGAAGGCAAGTGGTTAAAGTCTATTTCACATGAAAGCGGCTAGGGGCCCATGTTTCTGGCATTCGCCAGGGCAATGCTACAGTGTCCTCACTAGGGCGCCTAAGCCACGCCCACATGTCTTCAAGCCAGGAAGTGCAGAACACAGGCAGCACAATTCACATTCTGAAGCAAAAAATAACCAGATAGGGGTGTTAACCCTTAAGGGTTCTTTCACATGGGCGTTCCATTTTTTTTCTTCAGTTCAGTCACGTTTTTTCCAAGAAAAAACGGATGAGTTTACATCCATTTTTTAATTTGCTTACATCCGTGTTTTCATCCGTTTACATCCATTTTCCATCTGTTTACATTAGTTTACATCTGTTTTTCATCCATTCAGATCCATTTACATCCGTTGTTCATCTGTTTAGATCCATTTTCATCCGTCTACATCTGTTTTTGGTCCATTTACATCCGTTGACATCTGTTTTTCATCCGTTCCATTTTTTTTTTGCGGAAGAAAAATAGGGTTTTCTTCTGTTCAAATAAACAGATGTTAATGGATGAGGACATTAACAGATGTAAAAAGATGTTCATCCATTTACATCCACAAGTCCACAGAAATACATGGGGGTCTGTTTTTCATCCGTAAATGGAAAGATGAAAAACGGATGTACGAAACGCCCGTGTGAAAAAGGCCTATCTCTACCTGGCTCATCTGAAATACTTGGCTGCATATTGTATGTCTAGGTAAACATACCTGGTGTAGCAGGTTATTTGTGTTGCGTGACTGGCATCTTTCTCCACATCACAGGGGAAGGAACGGGTGGAAGAGACAAGCTGGACACTGTTCCCCAGGTTGGTATTCTCTTCACCGTATTCAAACTGGTTAGCAGCTGCAAAACCTGGAGAATGAAGTGAATACAAAAAAAAAAAAGTCTGGATTATTCAGATTTACCAATCACACATGAAGCCTGGCAGCCTAAACAATCCCTTTAATGTAGCTTGAAATATTCTGTATTTTTAAATTCTTGCAGAGATAGACTTCTTGGTCATTTAAGAGATACTCCGTGGAAATGTGTGAAGTTAAAGTGTCACAAAACCCTCGGACCCTGCATTCAATATATTTGGTCTTCCACAGTACACAGAACATGGAAGTGCAATTATTTTACTAAATATAAACTGCTAAATACCTTTTCTCATCAGCAGTTAGAGAAGTCTTGTGACTTCTATCAGTGTCCAGCTGAGCACTGGTTAAAGCTTGTAGGAGGATGGAGAACCTCTGACTCTCTATTTGGACAGTGCTGATTGGCCCTGCGCTGATCACATGCACTCTCCCAAGAAAAAAAACAAACCTCTCTAGCAATACACACGAAACTGAGCATGTGCAGAATGACTCCATAGGATATGTCTTATAAGAAGATAAAAGGGGGACACTGGAAGAAGGGGAGAATCAGAGAAGTCAGGATCAAACATCATTTTTACACAATGCAGAGGATTAACCCCTTAGGTTCCACAGTGAGTATAACAAGCATGCTTTACTGCATATACAGACTGATTTTACTGTTGTGGGTTTAGGAACACTTTAAGCCTCTGTGACTCATCAGTATAGGAAGTGGCACAATAGTGTCATGACCAGAGTACACGGTACAGGCCTGGAGAGTACAGGCAATGGTCACTGGAAATGTACTGTATGGAAATAGCCCTCTCTAGGAGGATAAAAGACTTCTGCATAAATGCCATTATAACATGGCAGGCCTAAAAATGAAAGCCCCATTCCAAGTGCTTCTCCGCCCAGACAATGGACATAAAAAAAGTGGAACTTTACTCTGTACAGGAAGGTCCTCTCTTCTGCCTCCCCCCCCCCCTTCCTTTTACATTTTCCCAAATACAAATTTATTTAAAAAGTGAAAATGTATTATTTTTTTGCTTGCCTAGGCCGGGATGACATAGTGGGGCCTGGCTAATGCACAGGCATGCTGCACAAGATGACATAACATAAAGTGCCTCCTGGGATGAGTGATGTGAACATTCCAGGAGCACGTTTCGATATCTCACACGAGCGCCCGCGTGGTCTATGTTAGAGAACAGGCAGAGACCAGCGACATGCCTGCGCATGCGCAGGGTCCTGGTTCTTGTGCAGACATGATGATGAGTTTTTGCTAGAATCTGTAGAGTTGGCAGAGACTCGCAGTTTGTATATGTGTATGTGCCAGATCCCATTAAAGTGGAATTCCGGGATAACCCTGACTTCGCTTAAAACTGTCTCCTTCCCCCTCCTAACACCAGTGCTTCATAACCTGTGTAAGAAAGCAATGGGGAAATTTCATATTTCCCTATTAACCCCTTCGCACCTAAGGGTAAAACAAATCTTAACGCCTAAGCACAATTTTTCAACTTTGACATGTGTTAGCAAAACCGTACATATCATCACAACTACTTTGTGCATCCAGATGGATTATACCTCATTTTTTTCAGGACCAATTGGGCCTTCATTTGGTGGTAATGGATATCACCTGATTTTTTTTCTATTATCAAAGGAAAACTGGCCCAAAATAGTTAACAAAATCATATATTTTTTTTAAATTTAGCTGTGTCTTTCTTGCTACTACCATAACACAAAGAACAACCCAAAATAATTTCTTCTGCTCCTGATGTTCTCAGTGATACCACATATGTTAGTTGTTGTTTGTACCAGTAGTACGGCCCCGAAACAATAGTGCACATTTTGCTTTTTTTATCCTGCCAATTATTAATTTAAAAAAAAAAATCTTTCCCCCCAAAAAATACTGATCCTGACCTTGACCCAAACACTAACCCTGGCACTGGCCTAGATCAAACCTTTTTTAATTTTAAAAGGTTATTTTTTAAATATTATTTTTATTAATTAATTAATTTATTTATTTATTTATTTTAAACATACTTGTTTTTTTTTTCTCTCTCAAAGGAGAGAGAGAAATTATGTATCTCTTTCCTCCATTCAGAGAGAGAAAACGTAGAGGCACCTGGGTGCAGCACAGGCCGGCACTATCTCTGTGTGTGACGCTGCCACATCATGAATGATCCACCAGCTGAGGGGAGGAGCGGCAGAGGGGAGAAAGAAAGGACAGTGGAAGATGTCGGGTGTCTGGGGTCAGTATAGCAGCTGATCTGCTGCTCCTTCCAGTGTTCCTTTCAGACTCAATCCCTTACTGAAATCCGGCTGGCGGTTGCTGATCACTGTGGAGTTCCAGCCCTTCTCTTCCCAGTCATCAGTGGAGGTGAAACTGCGCCTGCGGAGGAAGGTAATGTCTGAATCTGATGTCTCGTGTCTGTGTGAGTGTGACCCGGCTAGCCAGCCGGCCATCCATCACATGTCAATCAATGTATACCCTTATCCTTTTTAAACCCTCAAAAAGTCAATACTTTCTCCCTAGAATATGCAATAATACATATACAACCTTTTTGTGAATTACAAAAATAAATAAATAAATTGATTTTAAACATATAATGTGCAACAAAGTCCCACTAATCAAAAAAGTGTCCAAAAAGAAAGTCCAAAATAGTGTCCACAAATATCCCAAATTTATTTATTTTATTTATTTATTTTTGTAATTCACAAAAAGGTTGTATATGCATCCATCACATGTGCAATGTGTCAGTGAGTGATGACATCATCACGATCCCACAGCTTGCTCTTCTAGTGCCTGCTGGGCCTGCTGATCTGTGCCAGTGATGGTGGTGGTGTGTTGTGTCGGATCTGTTACTGTGTAGGATCGTTCAATTCAGGTGTTCTCTCTGTGTGTGTGGGCTTGGCTGGGCTGCCTGCTGTCACAGAATTTTATCTCCCCCCATTCTCTGGGGAATTCCAGCCTGGGGTCTGTCAAAGTGTGGATCCATCATCCTCCACTCACTGCAACTGTCACCCTGCCACTGCCAGCCACAGATACAGTCCATCCATGATACTGATTTTGTCTTTAATATTGGTGCTGGTGACATCTAATGGCACCCATTTTTGTAAATTCAATGAAATTGTGCAGTTTCATGTTTTGTTGATTTAATATTTTCTACTGTTTTTTTTTAAATTTTTTTTTTTTTTTTTTTTTGGGAGGGCGCCTAGGGTGCAGAATAGTGTAGTACCAACCCTGCATATAGACACTCCACCCATCCAGCATATATGCCCGATCTATATTGTGCATCCCAATGTCTCTCAAGCATGCAGCAATGTATACTGTATCGTAGACCCTTCATTCCATAAGAATATTTTTTAAACAAGATGAAAAGACCCTTCCTGCACTCATTGAAAACAACAGTTTAGGCCAGCTGTAGTTTTCACAACTCTTGTTTCTTATGACTGTAAACCATTAAAATTCCCCTTTTGAATAGAAATAGCAAAGAAAGAATCCGTGAATTCCATGCAGACAGAGCACACATGAGGACTGCAAAGGGGTCAGCTGAGGACCCCTTTACATTGAGAAAAGTGGTACGAGTTAACAATCGGCAGCAATATTTGATCTTTTTGGCCCTATTCAGTACCGCAACCTGGTAAGCAAAGACCAGTTCTGGCTATAACAAGCTATTTCCCTGTGCCAAATCATTTTTCCCCATACGCACCTTGCCCCATGATGGTAAGTCTTGTTGCTCCATTCAGACTGCCATATTTTGGCATGACTTGAGAGACCATCAGATTTCCATCTGTAAATGAAGAACAGTACCATGTCAAAGTTGTAAAGATTCTGCATTTTGTACAGACTTCTCACGCTGGGTGTCATGCAGGAGAACAAACATAATAAGAGGCCGTTCATGTTATTTTTACCTGATTATTTATTTACCTGTAGACATGGTGCCAGCACTGGGATGAGTCCTGTTAAATCTTCAAGTGACTTCAAGGTTTAACGGATTGTGCAGCACCCATCTAATGTGTGTAGGCAAACCAGTCATCCATAGTGCTTGCTATAGACCAGGCCTCTCCGGCTGGTCCACAGTCTCTGACCATCTCCTTTATCCTGTCCACAGTCTCTGACCATCTCCTGTAGTATGTTCACAGTCTCTGACCATCTTCTGTAGTATGTTCACAGTCTCTGACCATCTCCTGTACCCTGTCCTCAGTCTTTAACCTGCTCCTGAATCCTGTTTGCAGTCTCTTGACCTTTTCCTGTATTCTGTCTGCAGTCTCTTGACCTTCACCTGTATTCTGTCCACAGTCTCTGAACTCCTCCTGTACTATGTCCGCAGTCTCTGACCATTTCCTGTAATATGTTGGCAGTCTCTGACCTTCTCCTGTATCCTGTCTACAGTCTCTGACTGTATCCTGTCTGTAGTCTCTGACCGTCTCCTGTAGTATGTCTGCAGTCTCTGACCTTCACCTGTATCCTGTCCTCAGTTTCTGACCTTCACCTGTATTCTGTCCACAGTCTCTGAACTCCTCCTGTACTATGTCCGCAACCTCTGACCATTTCCTGTAATATGTTGGCAGTCTCTGACCTTCTCCTGTATCCTGTCCACAGTCTCTGACTGTATCCTGTCTGTAGTCTCTGACCGTCTCCTGTAGTATGTCTGCAGTCTCTGACCATCTCCTGTACCCTGTCCTCAGTCTTTAACCTGCTCCTGAATCCTGTTTGCAGTCTCTTGACTTTTCCTGTATTCTGTCTGCAGTCTCTTGACCTTCACCTGTATTCTGTCCACAGTCTCTGAACTCCTCCTGTACTATGTCCGCAGTCTCTGACCATTTCCTGTAATATGTTGGCAGTCTCTGACCTTCTCCTGTACTATGTCCGCAGTCTCTGACCGTCTCCTGTAGTATGTCTGCAGTCTCTGACCTTCACCTGTATCCTGTCCGCAGTTTCTGACTGTCTCCTGTATCATGTCCATAGTATCTGACCAACTCCTCTATCATGTCTGCAGTCTCTGACAAACTCCTGAGGTGGAGCTATAATAGGAAGAGGTGGAGCCTAAAACAGAAGAGATGGAGTTTACAGATGCTGGGAGTGGACCTTAAAGAGGAAGGGGTGGGACAAATTTAGATGGGGGGTGATTTTAGTCTTGCCTAGGGCAGCACAAATCCAAAATACATCACTGGGTTATTTACTAAAACTGAAGAGTGCAAAACCTGGTTCAGCTCTGCATAGAAACCAATCAGTTTCCAGGTTTTCATGTCAAAGCTTAATTGAACAAGCTGAAGTTAGAAGCTGATTTGCTACCATTCACAACTGCACCAGATTTTGCACTCTCCAGGTTTAGTAAATCCACCCCAATGTGCTTGGAGCTAATGTGTGTACTCATGCACATTCACATGCACTTCGTTTTGAAAGGATCTCATTCAATCAACTTGAATGGACTCTGCATAGTACCATTCCCAAAAATGTAGCATATTAGATTGTTTCACTAATGCTGCAGCTGCAGTGAAATTAAAAAGTGATCAGTTTAAAGGCTAGGCTCACTTTTGAAAAAAATGATACATTTTTACAGGAGACTGCAAAGCCTTGTACTGTGATCAGTGGATTGTGGGTGCCATGTCAGGCTGCTGCAGACACTTCCTCCAGCTCTCTGTTGGTAACTCTGTACAGTTTGGCAGTTTAACCACTTCCAGACCGGACACTTTTACCCCCTTCCTGACCAGAGCAATTTTCAGCTTTCAGCGCTATCACACTTTGAATGACAATTGCGCGGTCATGCAACACTGTACCCAAATGAATTTTTTTGAGACAGATAAAGCTTTATTTTGGTGGTATTTATGCATCGCTGGGATTTGTATTTTTTTTACTATGTAAATGAAATGTCCAAAAATTTTGAAAAAAAAGTTTTTTATAAAATTTTGCAAATAAATAATATTTCATCATAAATCTTGGCCAAAATTTATTCCGTTATCTTTGTAGTAAAAAAAAAATCCAGATTAGTTTATAATCAAAAATTATAATTTTTAAACAATTTTTTTTTTATTTACAGTGATTTCTTTTACACCCATATAGGATGTAAAAGCAATCATTTCTCTTTCTCTCTGTCTGCATTCTTGCAGTCATTGAGAAGTACTAAGTGAGCTGTGATTGGTCACAGCATGTCACATGGTACAAGGCTGTTGTGAATAGCCTTGTACCATGTGACCTCTGTGATCATTCACAGATTTCACACGTAGTAAGCAATGGTGTCACAAGTGACATCTTGCTTACTACTTTGCATGTGATCACTGATTGGCCAATCAGTGATCACATGATCGGGACCTTGTACAGAGGTCCCGTCCGACGATCAGTGTTTCACTGTGTCCGGAGGACACAGCGGCACCGGATCGCGGTGCTGCACGCTCCCGGGGAGCGCACACAAGCAGGGTGCGGGGAGCCCAAACCTGCTCTAACACCGTCCGGCCGTTTATATACAACGGCCGGCCAGGAAGTGGTTAAGAACTGGAGGAAGTGTCAGTGGACTATGAGAGCGTTGATTACAGCACTCATAGTACATTGGGATCAAAGCCATCTGCTGTTGTGGAACAGGGCACTTGTAGTTCATCCATTCACAGATCTCTGTGAATGAATGACAACATTGTGAGCGGAGCCACAGAGAGGAACTGCCCACTGTCAGGGGTAGAGAGTGGGTTTGCATGTTACACCTTGAAGTGGTTGTAAATCTCAGATATGAAATACGAACAAAGCATATTTCTCTATATGCAATAAGGGGTTGATGTACTAAAACTGGACAGTGCAAAATCTGGTGCAGGTGTGCATGATAGCCAATCAGCAGAGCCGCACTGGATTTTGCAGTATCCAGTTTTAGTAGATGAACCCCTATCTGTTGGTTCACACTGAATCCAGCTTTGAAATTTCAATTTGACTTTGATTTCAAAGCCGCATATCAGTGCGACTTCAAGTGCAACTTGGCAGCAAGTCACACGTGAAATCACAAAAATAGAACCTTTTTTTTTCCAAATCAATACGGCACTGCAAAATTGGGCTCCATTTGAACAGTTTCATTGTTGACAATAGGGTGCGACTTGCCATGCGGTTAGAAACTGTCAAATCGTATAACAACTCTCACCAGTGTGAACCAAGGCTAAGTGTAATTTCTTCAAAAGTGTAATTTCTGTCTGCTGCTTCACTTCTATAATATCAGCATGAATCACTTCTAACAAGTTTTCCTGACACCAAGAGAAAAAAGGTGATAGCAGCGGGACCTCCAGCACACAGACTGTGATTAACAGCTTCAGCTCTGTTTGTGTGCGCTGTGTGGAGGGGGTGTGTCTCTTCCCTCCAATCAGATCTCAGAGCTCACCTCACTGAGCTCTACAGAGTCAGTTCTCCTCCCCTCTTATTTTCAGATCTGAGAGATACTGTGTAGATTCTACACTTTGAATGGATGTCGGTAAGAGAAGACTACAGATAAACATGTACAACTTATGTAGGAGAATTTATTTTATCTCTGAGTATCACCTGAGGATAGTCACTTCACTGGGAATATGTGGGGGTTTACAACCACTTTAAGTATGGTTATAACATGTAACTATTGCAAATTGTAAAATGATGTAACCAGTGTGGCCAACCCCTGATTGACTGATCTGTATCTCTCCGTTGACTGGTCTAGTACAGAAATGTTCACTAACAATATTCCCAATCACTGCCTATGGTAAAGATAATTGTGTCTGTAGAAATAATACTAAATACATTTCATAGGTGTAGAAGCTGTAGTAATAATAACAATATTAATAATAGTTATTAATTGTGTTGTTATTGTCAATATTATTTATAATAATAATAATATTGCAATTATTTAAAAGTTAATTAAAAAATAAATAAGTATTACAACATTATTATTATTATTATTATTATTATATATTTTTTTTATCTTTTCAATTTTCTTATTATGATGTATAATTTAATTATATAACAGCGCTTTTTTCATATTGTTTACGGACTGGTACAAAGAGAATCATTTTGCAAACTTACGTGTATAGTGGATTGTGAGTAGGAGAAGAGATATCACCAGATGCATGGTACTGCCACTCAGTGCCCACCACCAGCCACG